CAAAAAATTGCTTCAAAACTTATATTTTCCAAAAGAAATATTTTTAGAAATAGACCTATACTAACTAACCTATGGTTTTAAAGTTTTGGGAATTTTTTCAGGTGTTTATAACTTTTTCAAAACTTGTTTATTTTTTAAACTAAATGTAATAATAATTGATAATATGAAGAACAATAAATAATCCATGATCAAATTACTGAGAGTGGGCCATTATCTTCAATGGATTTCAATTTTCTACCGATTTGCCCCATTCTCCCCTGAGCAAGAGCAGAATCGATTCCCTCTAAGCTTTAAAAAAATTCGACGTCGCAATTGTTTCTCATTTCTGACTTCCTATCTCTTGTCGTTCACTTTTCTGTTCAATATTGTCCAAAACTCTTCAGTTGATCGAGCCTGAGGTACATTGGGAGGATTGTCTATTTTAGGTACAAAATTGTTATGTTTTCGTTAAGCCATTTTGTAGGTTCTCTACCAATGGCATAAAGGCAAATCAGACCAAAACATTACATTATCATTGGCATGATGTGTATATAAAACTTCATTGTGTTTGGAGTCATATCTTTGAATATAAATCGTCTTTGAAAGAGCGAATCATCGACACAATTTTTGTTGTGAAATTTCAGCTTTATTTTTAATGGCTTTAATCATTCTTTATTTCCTCAAAATTTTGGGTCGAGGACTTTTGGACAGGGTGTATCCTCGTCCCATTTCTTTATGGTCCGATAAATTGTTGTTACAGAATTATTTTGTTCTCTATAAATTGCAACAGTTTCACGTTTAGACATTCGCCCAACTAGATTGTAAGCGTCTTGACGAATATCTATCAAGATTATAAGACATTTTTGAAAACCCGATTGAAACAACTAAACTGCCATAACATAAACACGTTAATTGTTATATTTCACTTCCAACAACAACGTGTTTATAGGTACACCATTTGGTATTAATAAAAATCATCTAAAAAAGTTCCCAAAACTTTAGGATCATACGTTATGTTGATAAATAAAAATTTTCTAGAATTATATTTTCCAGATGAGCTAAAATTGGTCAAAATTATATTTAGTCCTAAAGAAAAAACGTGAGTTGGAAAACAGTAACAAATTTAAACCTATTTCTATCTTACCCACAATTTCAAAAGCCTTCTAGGCTGCTCTAAAGAAATGCCTAATAAAATATCTTGAGCAAAATATGTTTAGTGATTCTCAACATGGGTGGAGAAGTAAACTATAATAGCAACGATAGATTTGTACGAGAAGATAACAAGTACTCTAGATAAGCGAAAAATTGTAGAAATGGCACTATGCGATTTGAGCAAATCGGTTGACACTCTACCACATTAAGTTGGTTGGTATCTTCAAATCTTACCTAGAAAACAATTCAGATGGTAAAATGGAACAACAAATGTTCAAAGCCCCTCAGAACAAAATGTGGAGTACCTCAAGGATCAATCTTTGGACCATTATTATTTATAATGTATTATGTGAATGATTTGCCTACCAATGTGTATGAATAGTGCCTATATGCGGATGACACTTGCTTTTGTATGAAAGGAAATACGGAAGATGAACTAAAAATAAAAATGAAAGAAACCCTTGCAGATGCCAATGAATGCAAATAAACTCAAACTCAATGAAGACAAAACTCAGGAATTAATTATATCTTCAAAACACAGCAACGTTACCAATAAAATTCTTGGGATTTTACCTGAACAGTAAAGCTTTCTGAAATGATCACATCTAAGAAACATGTAAAAACCTAACATCAGAAGAATTCAAGAGCATTTCAACTCTCCAAGCTGCAAGGATGACATATTTTGCTATTTTCCACAGAAAAGCCACCCATGGTATTCTTCTGTGGGGCACCTCATCTGATGCTGACAAGATTCTCTGTACAAAAGAAAGCATTTAGAATCCTGGGCCAAATGAACTATCGGAAAAGCTGTCGAGAAGCTTCCTTCCACATACTCGTATATGTATTTTGTGCTCTTTAAAATATATGCACAACCCATCTCCACACATTCCACAAAAACTGATCAAAACTCAAACACAGCACTTTAACACCGTACCACCGAATAAAAGTGACGCAGCAAGACATTGTTTATTGGGGTCCGAAACTGTATAACAAAATTCCCACTTACTTGAAAGAACTAACGGCAGAAAAATTTGAGTTGAAGGTTAAGAAAATCTTCATTCTTGGACTGTTCACCAATAAAACAAATGTGAATTTGTTCTGTTTACGTTTTTTACACTTATGTTTTATGTTTTATATATTTTTTTTGACAATCCATTGATTGTACATAAAATCACACTCAATCACTCTTAGTTTAATCGAAGGGACTAGTAATGGACATAATTATAAAAAAAATACATCTTACGATTGCGAATTTATAAATTAAAATAAAATTAGCTGAAGTATAAGTAACACATAAACGTACATTTTTTTGTTATTATGTTTTATGTAACAAATTACTCATATTTTAAATTGAAAAAGTCTAGACCTAGCTATATACAACTCAGCAGAAATCTCTACGCAAATGGCAATATTCTAGCCGCACATTTTTGAAATAAAATATAAAAATAATCTGTTATCAGTGAAACTTGAGGCCAAAACAGTATGCACTTTAAAAAATATGGAAAGTAACTTTTAAAAAATCAGTAACAACAACAGCTATCAATGGTGGAATTAAATAAACATTTACTATTTTGAGTATTAATTTATTTGTGAAAAATAACAAATTATAAAATCAAATAATACTCTGCTTTTATATATTTTTTTATGTAAATAATATCATTTATTAAAAAAAAAAATTTGCGCGACCTAAAACTTAGCCAACTAGATCTTCACTTTTTATATTGCAAAATGTGACTAGAAATGGCACTAAACGTTAAGAATGTCAGTTTAAATATTTTTGTACTGTTTGAATCAATGTTTACAGCAGTTGCTTATTGAATCAGAGTGAAGCTATGGCTTGAGGTTTTATGGCTCACCCCATGCTGTTAGTGTTTGTTTCTTGTGGAAAAAATCAAATTTCTTTGAGTGGAGTTACCTGGTGTGCAAGACACACTTCAAAATTTATTCGGTTTTGTCATAAAACTGGAACAAATTGTGCTGAATCAGGTTTGTTATCTTGGGGAGCAGCCAGTCTAAAAGTGGCTTATGGGTTGTATGAGGTTTGCTTACGATTTAAATCTTATCCCGTTAATATAAACAATTTGTGTTGGTTGTTATCAGCGTAGGCTCGTCTCTCTAATGGACTCGTTGAAAGCATTGCTCTTACTAATTGCTTTCCATGTGGTGGTGGCATTACTCTTACCTGTATTAGTGTGCACCTGGGTCGATTCGGAATATTTTAGCATAACTTTTGTGAATTACTCTTATTGCAACGCATGCATAACTCATTACGACGGCCTTAGACGTGAATAAATTCCGGATTTGTGAATATTTACTTGGGCGTCAGCCGATTAAGAACACGCTTAATTAAATGGCCGACCGAGAGAGGTTCTAACGTCGCTAAATAAAATACGTGCAAGTGAGTTTCCACTCGAATCGTGGAAAGCTGTCCCGAGAGATGTGACAGCGTCCCAAAACTAGAAAAAAACTTAACGGCCATCGTAACGAACACGGACGGATTTCGATAAAAATATGTAATAGATAACGGAAAAGAGCGAGCTTTTTCTGATAAGCGATTCCCGAGTGAATGATGTGGCATGCACATGCTTTTAGCACGTACATGTGTAGGACACACGAAATAATCGTTTACCATTTTCGAAACTCGCATATTCATTATCAATGTCATTATTTTGCCATCAATAACATTGTTATCTGGTCATTATGAAAATATGCATCAAACATGAACATCCCGGAATTCATAAAGACCCATAATTATGTTTGAGCTTTTTAACCCGGTTTTTATGCCACATTCGATTTTATGTATCTCCACGTACGTATAATTAATATTACAAGTATGTGCTATTGAATTCCGATAAGATTCAACTTGTCCGCTGTCACAATCCAACTGGGACGTGGCTTCCCACCAAACCGATCATTAAATTAAATAATAATAAGAACAACTAAGACTCGATAATTGATGCTCCTGTTACATCGAAACCCAATCGATCTTATTGTATTAAACAGGTCATTCAGCGAGCAAATTTGAATTTTTTACAAACTGAAAACATAAATATTTATTTAGTTCCTATCAAAATTCTCCCAATATTCACTACTGAAAAGTTGAAATACATACACATGAGTTGAAGTTGTTAAAGCAGCTAAACGTAGACAATGTTATAGTCTCAGGAATACTACCGCACTGTGGTGAGCACTTTTCCGCCATTTATTTTCCAAAATAGCATTAAAAGGATTTTACCAGCTCGCTGTAGATTATTTGCAATTGTTGAAAGAAAATTACTTTTTAGCTCAATTTGAATTGATATTGTTCGGCACTATTAGATAGTTGTAAGTTTTTTTAACAATCTCTACATTATCCCAAAAAGAAGTAGAACACTTAATGAGTTTCATACATTCCAGTTAAAGCGCCACAATAAATTGCACAATTTATGTAAATCACTAGACAAGTGAAAGTAGGTAAGGATGAAACAAGATACTCATCTCGCATTTTTCCATTTGATAAAACATCTGCCAGTTAAAATAATCGTGGATGAAACACATCGTTTAGTAGTTGTTCATAAAATTTTCGCTCCATAAAAATGCCACGAAGTAATGAAATATATTTGCTGCCGGTGCACTATGTGGCTAAATATTAATATTTTTTACATGAATTTTCGTAAAAAGCAGTCATGTTTCAGTGTCGGTACAATAACACGACACATAGATTGCAGGCGATAGGGGACCGTGTTATTCATTTCTATTATTAAACATGGAACTCTGAATAAAATTATCACGGAAAGAGTAATTATACATAATTAAAACAACAGATATTAATTCATGTAATACACAATCAAGTTTTACTATTTTATTGAAATTTTCATTTTTGGTTTCAGGGTGACGGTGCCATGGCCTGGCATGGGAAGGTCCGGCCCGGCCTGCTTCTTCTCCTCTTTTCTTTCGTTGTTATATCGGAGGCAATGGCCAAAAGTATAGGTAAGTTAAGTAACCGGAAACACTGGTTTTAAAGGAAATCGGCCAAACCGGTTTAATGACAAAGGTGGGGGAGTGAATTTCGTAAACAACTTTGAGACCTGCTCATTTATTTTGTCTTTGAATGCACTTAATTGTTGGATATTTATGCTATCATAGCCCAATAAGTGCATACAGATCGAATTAATAGAAGAATTTATTTAGACTTACGAATTTTAATCTTCATAAAAGAAATTTATGTGTGATTTTGATAAAGGAAGTTATTTCTTTTTATTTACGAGGTAGAAAAAGACAATTAATAAAAATTGCTGAAGGAAAAGGGGTCGCAAAGAATGGCGATGTTTTAATTTAATTTAGTGTTTGCTCGATTTGGTTTTAAGTAAAATGTAAATGAGATTGGATTATGACCATACGATATCACGCTGTAACACATTGAAGAACGGTTGTTTGTAAACAAATGATTTATTCTGTAAGATAATTACACCACCGCTCCACTATAATGATAATTGAATCGATTGTTTTGACGTCACAGATCAACCAACAAACCATTCAAGAAACTAATTAAGATTTAAAAAATCTAATTCACTAATAATAATCGTTTGTTTACGTTGCTAATATATCAACGTTAAAAAAAATTCCATTAGGTTACGATTATTTAAACAGACAATATCAACCAGTGGGGTTTCCATTCATCCCATATTCTAATTGTTATTTATTGATCTTTTCATAGCGTGAAGAGCCGAAAAAAAAGTAGGAGTTTTAAAATTTTGAATGCACTTAATCATTGCTATCAACAACAGACATCACTCTTAAAAGCGTATTCAGATCCAGTTCATGTAACACAAGAAAAATATGTAAATAGGAAAAAGCTGAAATGTTGAAAAAGTGAGCTAGGGAAGAAAAATATGTTCATTCTTAGCCGATCTATGAGATGTAAACTGATGAAATACAGGTTAAAAGGATATGGCACACATGTTATCCTCCCAGACGCTAGCGTGACTCGAAGTGTTTTCAATGATTTTGTTCCTTTAAGAGTTCGATTTAGGCGTAAGCCTTTGAAAGATTTTTTAATCCCGGTAACGGAATGCGTCGTTTACTTTGGGAAGGTGAAGATTTAAGTAAATAAGTGAGTGTCGAGGCGGAAGTGCGTTGATAATTGAAAAATCTAATAATTGTGAGTGTTGTCGGCCGTTATTAAAATCCATTGGTTTAAGGGAAAATTGGGCATTGTTATTCTATCGCACGAACTGTTTCCGAATTAGGGTTTGATGTTTTAATTCCAGAACAGGTCCTGCTCAGTCGCATGAAACACAAACACTCGTCTAGGACCAATAACACGGCCTTAGTTCGATACTCCTGAGCTTAAACTGTAATTAAGTTGCAGTACGTTTCCAGCGGAACAAATTGCTGCATTCTCTCTTACCGTTGAAATTAAGCGAACCATATTTTTTTCTCTTACGGCATGCTATCAAATAAATTAAATTATATAGGTTTTTCCCTTATCCCAGCGGCAACATGTTTCTGCACCAACGGAAAAACATTCAACTTTTCACCCCACTTACACTAACTTTCTTTTGCATACTCATGCAAAGCATCAATACGTCAAACCTGACAACTTCATTATCGCAAAAATACGCCCAAATTGGAGGAAACATCTCCGGAATTCAATTCTTTATTTTTATTACGATAACTGAAATACCTGAACGCTTTAATGCGATTAGTCAGTCGAGTTAGAGGCAAAAAACGATTTTACAAAATTTATTTTTGCGCCTTGTTATCCGGAATTGTGCCTATTATACGATATGATTCCGATCATACCGGAAACGAGGCTGTTCATATTGTTAGTCGGAAGGGATTTTTCGTAATAATAGTAACTTGTTTATCGTTTGTGTTCAATCAACCCTACATAACAGCATCCAATCACATAAATTGCAGTTTGATGTTAGATTTTTTCCTCATCGGACTAACTCCAACATTTTATATGTTCAAAACCATCACAATGCACAATTGCATTCTTTCACAAAAATGCATTTATCTCGATTTTTTAGTCAGAAATATTATATCGAACATATAAGACTTTTTGTACGAAGAGGACGGAATTGTCGAAATTGCATCAATTTTGTTGCCGCATTGTCCTTTAGCTTGGACACCGGCCAAGACCTTAATTCATCTGTAAACAATACAGGCGTCCGGGCCTTTTTCGATCTGCTCATGTAATACGTGCCTTGCGATTGCCCTGACTTGAAGACGCTTAATCTGGTCCTTTTTTATTGTTATGACACGCAGACTTTTAAATGTTCGAACCCAACCTTCAATAGAATCGAGATTTCCTCCTTTAATTATGGAACTCGACAAAAAGAGAAGCAGCCGTACTGTATGTCTCTTCGACTGCTAACATTTATTCCAGCTTTTTCCGGTTTTAGAGGAATACAATTTTACATCCAAAATATTTCAATTAAATTTTACAATTAAGGTAATAGTTTTTCTATTAAGAGTTTCTTTTGTTTTTGTGAAATATAAAAAGGATGAACCAGAGACTGACTTCTGTTATGTATAAATAATAATTATAATTGTACCTACTTATAAAATTCCGCGTAATGTTATTGACGCGGCATTTTAATTAAAATTATGCTTTAATGTGTGTGGAAAGCGCATTTTCTAATAAACAGATTTGTGCACTCATTACTGCTTGCATTCATTTATGTTTTATGTTAAAACGACTAATCCATTTTCATGGAGCGACCATCACACGCAATCTCAATTATCTACGATGATGGGCGGAAGATACGGTCGCAAAAGTATGTATATGCTTCCATGACGCAAAAAGCATCAAAGTCTAGGTACCGACATATGTTTCAAAATGAATCCAAATTATTGCAGAAAATGTTTTATTGTTAATAACGAATGAATAATTTATACTGGTCACTAAAGAGTAATGAGGATCGATGGAGCCATTAGAGTAGATTTGAAAAAGTCAATTTAGGGTTTTGTTCACTATAGTGGACATATATATTTTGTAGTTTAGTTGATAAAACTGTGCAAGTTTGTAAAGTTTGCTCATATTTTTTGCGAGCATGTAAGCCAGTTGGCACTCGCCGATAAATAGTCGATTGGGTTTGTTGTAATTTCAGAAGAAAAGCGGTTTCATTTCGTTGGTGTCGAAATGGTAGGTCAGAGTGTTTCTAAGTTGCACGTTATTTACGATTTGAAATTCTCGCAGAGTTATGAACGCAATAGTCAATGTTTCACCCTCTTTTACCGAGAATCCCAGCAGACGTTGCTCTAAAATGAACGTGTTGTAAAGCTCGGGGCTTTTCTTCTCTAGAATCGTTACGATATATCTCTCCCTCAAACCGCCAAAACCGGCCAAAATTAGTTGACGACTTCGCTAGCTGTCTGTCTGTCAAAAGAGCGTTTATCCGGATTTGAGTACGCGACGGGAGTTTTATGACGGATTCGTTTCTTTTGATCCGTTTTCAAATTGAAAGATGCGTCATGAGTCGATTGAAAAATCGGAAAAAGACTTGCAAGTGCAAGTTTAAGTCCCCAGGTATCTTTCTTGTGCTGCGACTCGACTCAACGCTACAATCGGTTGTGCTCAGGTCTCTATTGATTTTCTAGCAACAAGGGTTCCTTCGCTTTGATGCGGGGAATGTTACATTAGAACACTGCAACTTGCATCGGAACGTTTATACAAGACAACGTTTTACTTATTTTTACGTGTCGAACATAATTTATCCACTTTGCGCCAAGAAAAATTTCAAATGTCGAGGCGCGACATTCTTCGTCAATATTTAATTACAATCGGATTTTTCTAGCACTTTCACTCAATTTTCCTTTCGTCGTCGGTTATAATCACATCAGCTCCACTCCATTTTACCTAATTTTAATAACTCAAAAGAAATTGAGGGAAACCACTTCACTTATTTAAATATTAAGTCTACTCAAATATTTCGAAGTTCTATTAAAATCTTGTATTTTTCTCGACAGGCTTGTATATCTTGTTAAATGGAATTTTACAGTACAGCCGTATATTTGTCATATAACATATGAAGTTATGAATTTGCATTTCCGGTATCACCGGTTTCTTGAAAACTTTTAACTTTACAGGAAAACCAAGCTGACAAGTGTTTTATCAAATTTTTATGCCTCGGACAAAGAAATTCAAATAATATTAATGATAAATGATCGGAAGGTAAGTGCTAGTGTTATGTTTTGAAGCAATCGTAATAATTGGAATAATGATAGTAATCTAAAATCGGTCGATAGTGTTTGAAATAGGACGATATTATCGAATTTATTTCATTGTTAAAATTTTTATAAGGTGGTAAGACTCAAATGTCGTGTAGACGGGGCAGAGTTGTAAATTATTTACCAAACACTTGCTGCTTCATAAATGTTTACATTTTGTCTATTTCCGTTTTTTAATTAATCATGGAGCTAGCGATTAGAAAAATTCACTTTAATGATTAATTACGACGGCGAAATTCGCATTTTAATGGATTATTATGTCAAATTTCTGGCAGAGGGGTTAGATAAAAATTTGGTGAAGCAAGTAATTGATGCGAATTTAAATAATAATTTTGGGAGGCTTTCAAAGTTGACGTCAGTGACCGTGAAGCTTATTATCCTAAACTACGCCACTGGAATAATTAATCAAAGATAATTAAAATTTGACAAATCGGCCACGGAATCGGATTGATTTCTCCAAAGAGAATATTTTTGAACTGCAAACAATAAAAACGGCCAGTTATGAATGTTTTCTTCTGCGTGTTGTACACATTTATTATGATTATCACATTTTCTCCGAGGATTTGTCTTACTTCAGTGCACACTTACTGGATGAATACTGTATCTATTTTGCCAAACTGATATGATTGGATCATTGCATCGAATTAATTAAGAATTAAAAAATCTAAAAATTGTAGTGAATCATAAAGAAGTAAGTAAACAAATTCGATTGTGGGATAATTAAAACACATAGATGTGCATTAAGCGTAACT